AGGACCTCAGGAAGAAGAGATGCTCAGAAATGGTCTGTCAAATTAGTGAACAAATTCTGCTTCAGAAATATACTCTTCTTCAATTTTAACATTCCTGATTCCCTTCTGTTCTTCCCATAACATGGCTTGCAGTCCCTACGTCACCACTTTCTTTCTAACAGACTCCCATTGGCTCATGTGTCTTAATCTGTGTTGATTGGAGTTGAAGATAGCATGCCTGCTATGTTCTGGCTAGGATGAGGTGAGTCCCACTGTCCTTGGCTCTGAGGATGGACAGATGGATCAGACTTGATCACTGTTTTCTTGCTCTCTTTCTCCCTTTCATTTTTTTCTTTCTCCTCTTTCTTTCTTTTTTTCTTTTGTTTCTAAGACAAGGTTTCATTTTGTAAACTAGGCTAGCCTCAAACCCAAGACAGTCCTCCTGCCTCAGCCTCCCAAGTGCTGGAATTACTGGTGTGTGCCCTGAATTTAATCGCTGTTTCCAAGGAGCTCATAGCCTTATGGAAGACACAAATATGTGCAATATAATATTACATGGCCTGAGAGAAGTATGCATAGGGACCTGTGGGAACATAGGTAATAACTCTTAAAAGGGGGGAGGGGAGGCAGAAAAGGCTCAAGGTGACATTGAATTACTTAAAGCACTGAGAGAAAACCCAGATCACACTGACTCAAGTGAAGAAAGAATATTTTAGATCTCATAACTGAAAAGTCTTTGGATAGATTTCAGACATGATTGATTTTGGGCCTCATCCAATAGTGTCAGGACTGTTCTTTCTTCCTCTTCCTACCACGTCGCCCCCCCCCCTTGGCCCGGGACATTCCACGTGAGAGCAGTGTTTTCCCTCATTAGGAAGGAGGCCGTTCTTCCTGCATCAGGCTGTTCTCTCCCAAGAACAGGAACCTGCACAAGGGTGGCACATGCCAAAAAGGGGAAATAGAGGCATGGGCACAGAGTGTAGGGACACATACTGAGTTCCGGGGAGATTCCTGGGAGGAAGGTTGTTCCAGCCAGAGAAGATATCAGGCAGAAAGCCTGGAGGAGATGGAGAGGCTCTACCTTTTCTCAGAATTTTTTCCTGACCATAGAATTCCTAATGACTTTCCCTCTCATAATCATCATCTGTTCAACAAATTCTTACTCAACTTTACTCTGTGCTAGGCTTAGTGCCCTCAAGGAGCTTATCTTCTAGGTGTGGAGTCAACAAATAAAATAGACAGTTACCTTCCAGCAAGGTAAGTGCGATGTCATAGGGAAGTGCAAGGGGCAAGAACACCCAGAATGGGTCTCTTTTCAGTCAGGTCCATACAGGAAGCACAGGGCCATCTCATGTCAGTAATGTGAGATGGCCCTATTCAGATATGGGCAGTGAGTCAGGGAACCACAGGGGAGGTTGGTGAAACATCCTGGAGCTTGAAACACTTAGGGCTGAAAAGAAAGAGAAAGAACCATGTACAGAAATCCAGAGTCAGGAGGAATCTGAGATACAGCTGGTGGGCAGATGGGAGTCTCAGTTGAGGCTGCAGCAGCAGGAACATCAACAAATTAAAAAATAAGTGTCAGGCACAGTGACATATACCTGTAACCCCAGCACTCAGGAGGTTGAGGCAGCAGGATCACCATAAATTCGAGGCCAGGTTAGGCTACATAGTGAGTTCAAGGCCAGCCTGGACTACACGGAGAGACCCTTTCTCAAAAACAAAACAAAACAAAATAAATCAATAATAAAAAATAAAAGTAAGTGAAATATATCAGAACTATCTGTTGTCTGGTTAGGTGTTACTGTTTTTTGTTGTTGTTTTTTTTGTTTTTTTTTTTTTTTGAGACAGGATTTTGCTGTATTCTAGACTGGCTTTGAACTCACTATGTAGCCCAGGCTGGTTTCAAACTCACGGCAATCCTCCTGTCTCAGCCTCCTGAGTGCTGGGATTACAGGTGTATATCAGCACGCCTGGGAGATTAGGTGTTATTGAAAAACAAGGTGGGAAAGGAGGTTAGAGAAAATGGGAGAACAGGGGTGTTAGAATTTGAAAATAGAGTGGTCAAGAAAAACCTCCCCAAGATGGTGGTATTTAAGCAGACTCCATGACAGTGTATCTCTATCTTCCTCTCATGCCTTCAGTCAGCCCATCCTAACCTCAATCCCCACTCTACTCCCTTGCTTTCCTTATCCCAAGGTCAGGGCCTTGTGTCTTTGGATTAAGGAGTTCTTTGAAGGTCCCTCTCATGGGCTTCCCAAGGACAGGAACTCTCTTTTCTCTTTCCCTTTCTTACCCAATCACAATGGAAGATGCCATTATTGAGCACATGCCTGGTTCCAGGCCTACCTCTGGGCATGTAATATACCATATTTCATCTAAGTCTCATAGAAAGTCTACGAAGCACAGTTAGGGAAAATGAGGCATCTCAGTCCACTTTCCAACAGCCGTTGACTAGCTGCCTTCCTTAACAAGTTTCCTGCCCATCCTCACTCCAGAGAAAGGGTAGTAGAGGATAGACCTCAAATCCTGAAGGACTGAAAAAGGAAAAAAACATCCTCACTCCAGAGAAAGGGTAGTAGAGGATAGACCTCAAATCCTGAAGGACTGAAAAAGGAAAAAAAAAAATTAGGATTATGCTTTATTTGTCTGAGAGGTACAAAGACCAAAGTGTAGAAGTCAAAGGAGGCAGTTTTTGTTAAAATATGAAACCATCCTAAAAATCAGAGCTGCTTAAGTATGCCAGCAAAGCTGGTAGCTTTGTGTGAAACATGAAATATGTGGAACTCATTAGGCAAGGACTTCAACTACAAAACTATGCGAGTCCTTCCAACTTTGTTTTTGTCACTAAATGAGTATTCAACCCTAAAATGGTCTATACTTATTAATCTAAAATTTTGTTACAACAAGAGATAATCCCTGCCTTTAAAGAATCCATAATCGTCTAGCTGAAATGGGCAAATCGTTTCTTTCAATAACTGTAATAAATAGTCCTATGGAGTAAATGCAAGGCCAGGTGGGATCTGGGAGGGAACTCAAACTGGGCCAGAGCTATTTCCTCAAGGCTAGTCTCTCGAATACCATTTGTATGAGTCCTCAGAAATCTTGTTTTTAAAATGCTGATTTCGGCTGGGGATTTAGCTCAGCGGCAAAGTGCCTGCCTGGCAATCGCAAGGTCGTGAGTTCGGTTCCCGGTACCGGAGAAAAACCAAAAAAATAAAAAAATTTAAAAAAAAAATGCTGATTTCTGGGCTGCACTCCAGAACTCCAGAATCAGAACCTCTGGAGTGAAACCCGAACATCTACTTCATTAGACAAGGGCCCCAAATGATTCTCTGGCAGACTGAAAGTTGAGACTGTGTGCCTAGATGGTCAGGAGGACTTCCGTGAGTGCTGACCTCCAGACTCAGAAGGAGGAATAGCCAAATCAAAACATGTGACCACAGAAACAACATGGAGGTAACGTATTTTGATGGGGATTAACAATTTTGTACAAAATGCATGCACTTTGGTAGGTCTTTTAAAAATGATAGCTATTCAGACTATATTCTGAGGTTCTGTGATTGAGGGTGTGTGTCTCAATATCCTGTAGCAGATCTTTGTTTGCAGGGAATGAGAGGGCTGGCCTGGACTTATTAATTATTGCAAGGCCCTGGCCTGGGAAACGTTCCTCACAGAGACCCTGGGAGGCTGTTTCTGGCTCTGTCCGTTCCTCTGCCACTGGCCTCCTGGTCCTTATTTCTCAGCTGTCCCTGGCTACTTCTTTTCTCTGGAGCCGGCAGCCACAGCAAGGAGGCAACAATTTGAGTGAGAGCCTGGTGAATGGAAAATGAAGAGTGTTCTATGACAGAGATCAGTTAAAATGTGGCTGGGTACAAGTTGGTTAGGTATCTGAGGGACTCCTGGGGTGAGTGAGACACCTGCTGGGCTAACAAGAGAGCGGGTGTAGTGGATTCTGAGTCTGAGTTTTGCTGATGACTTGCTTGGTAAGCATGGGCAAGTCCCTTCCCCAATCTGGGCGTTTACAACCTGTCTGTGAAAAAGGGCTTGTGTTAGATATTTTCTCTGGTGACCCTCCAGTTTTATATATAGTTATGTATTTAGTCTTTCTGAGACAGGGTTTCACTATGCAGTTCAGGCTAGCCTTGAACTTACTTTGTAGCCCTGGCTGACCTCGAACTCCTAGCAATCCTCCTGCCTCAGCCTCCTGAGTGCTAGGATTACAGGCGTGCGACCACGCCCGGCGACCCTCCAGTTTTAATATTTTGGAGACAAAGAGCTCATCTGGTCCCAAGAATAAACCCATTAAGAATGCATGCAAGGGGGGCTGGGCATTTAGCTCAGCGGCAAAGCGTCTGCCTGGCAAGCTCAAGGTCGTGAGTTCGGTTCCCGGTACCGGAAAAACCAAAACCAAAAAAAAAAAAAAAAGAATGCATGCAAGAGTGGTACTCATTTTAGAGCGAGGAAGCCAAGACTAAGGGAGGAGCAGTGGCTTGCCCGCAATCACACAGCCACACGTGAACAAAGACTGTTCCCACTAGCACCCAGCGCTCCGCTTCGCCTTCTGAAGATACGATCAAGTTGGGCTAGCTGGGGCGAGCCTAAGAGTGGCATTCAGTCTAAGGTCCAGGAAGCAGGCATTGCAGCAGGCGGTGCAGGGGATGGAAAGTTTGGAGCCCACAACCGGTTGAGGCCAAGGAGCAGGGCGGAGGCTCCTGAAACCAGAGCAGAGAGAAGCCGGTGTGATGAGAGGGGCGGAGCCGGGGGAGGGGACGCCCTGGGGAAGGGAAAAGGGAGCCGACGCGGATGAGAGAGCAGAGCAGCACAGAGGCCTGTGGAGATCACAGGGGCGGGCAAAGGGCGGAGAGGTGCGCCCAGGCAACCTTCCAGCAGAGGGAGCAGCGTCCCGCGAGCAAACGGGCTCCCTCGGAGACTTGCCGAGAAGCAGGTAAGGTGCTCTCGCACGGTTGGGAGAGCTGAGCTGCAGCGAGCGGTAAAAATGGGGGAAAGCGGCTACCTACCTCCCTTCCGAGGGCCAAATCTCTTTCTAGAGAGGGTAGACCCGACAAAGGGTGCAGTTCAAATACTGTACTGAGCGGATCCTCCCCAGGGTGGAGAGCTGGGATCCCAGGGCTGCACATGGGTATGAGGAGCTGGGCTTCTTGTAGGTTAAACCTGAAACCGCTGCGGGGAGGAGGGCCGGCGTTAGCGGTCCTAGGGTCTCACAGGGCGACCTAAAGCACTTCCGCGCCTGTATAAATCCGCACGGGAACACCTGCTGGTCCGCAGCTAGTACACACAGAGCAGCTCCGCACGCACGCAGTCTTCTTGCTCGGCCAGAGTTGCTAGTTCTGTAGAGTTGACTCGTTCCACTGTGACTCTCACCCTGTCTGACACAGAGCCAGAAAGGATGGAGACACCTGCCTACAGGAATACAGGTCTTGCCTGCGAGGCAGCAGACTTGGGCTCTAGTTTGTAGGTTGTCTAAACTTGTGCAAGACATCTGCCCTCTCTGACTTGTGCTTTCTTTTCCCGGGTCACCACCTGTATAATGGATATCCTGCTTCTGTTGTCCCTCTACCACAGTCAGCGGGAGGGGAAAGGGGCCTAACTGGGAGTCTCTTATCTAAAAAGTGGATTAGTTCAGGCCTTGTGTGAGAGCCCATTGAGAGTTCTCTTACTCCCTCTCCTAACTCCCTACAATTTCCATACCAGAAAACAAAGGCCCTGGGGTGTAGATGATTTACCTTGGGTCGCACCAGGGATCAGAGAGAATTAGAACCCACATTTCTTCACTCCTAGCTCAGGGCTCTCTACTTCACCTACAAAGAGATATTGTAAATGTAGAAATTCCTGCTTATCTCCTGGCATCCAGCCACTTTGTCAGTTCTACATGAAAAAGATCAATGCTAGCAGCATGGAAACCACTTTCAGATTTCCTGCTTCACACCTTGCAGTGGAAACCAACAACCTTCAAAATCTCTCACTTTACACTTCTCAAAGCATATTTCCAACTGTGAACTAATGTGTGGGTGCTCAAAATACCTTCCAAGGGGAAGCAAGACAAGAAAACCTATCTTACTGATGAGGAAAGTGAAGCCCAGAGTGGAGAATGAACTTTACCAAGATAGATGGCTAGACATACTGGTGAAACAGGGGCAGAAACCCAGGTCTTTTGATTCCCAGTACTACAAATAGTACCTCTGAGGATTAAGGGATCTCAGGAATGATCAGAGAGGGTAGGAAACAAGGAAGGGTTCTTAAAGTGGTGTTTCTGAGAATCAAGAAGAGTAGTAAGAACCCCTAGCTTCTTCTGAGGGTAGGAGAGATGGGGTGAAAAGGGGGACATATGGATGGCTTCTCTTGGAAATACGGGGTAGGGGGAGATATGGAGACAGAAAAAGAAACAGTGTGACCAGGTTGCCCAGTAATTTTATGTTTATAGTTTCTATGATACTTTCCCATCTATTGTCTCCCTCAGTTCTCATGTGAGGTAAGCAGGGCAGGGATAATTATCCCCATCTTATAGATGTGGTTCAAAGGAAATAAATGCAAGGTCACACAGCTAAGCATACAGCCAAGATTGGAATCATGAAAGGAACCTTGGAAGGCAAGATCACAGGCAAGACTGGGACTTGGACTGTGTGTGCGCAAAATGTGTGGGTGTGAGCAGCCACACCCTGAGTTGGTACACAGGGAAGAGGGTTGCAAAGCTATTGCTGGTGTGTTTGGGGGCCAAGAATGTTTGCCCTTTGGATTAAGTGAGGTTCAGGTGGAGGGAGCATCTGGGCTTCTGAAGGAGGCTCAGAAGTCCTCGTCTTCTAACTCACCTCACCTGACTGAGGCAGCTTCTTTTTTTTCCCCAGACTAAAATGGAATCTGTTTTTGCCTGCCCTTGAAGTTGCTTTCCTTCCTTTCTTTTGTTTTTAAGCATTGTAAACTGTTTTTATGAATGTATGTGTATGCATCTGCACTCCAGTAGGGATGCCTTTATAGAAAAATTTTGATTTATTTATTCCTGAGTGCCTGCTAAGGGAACTCCTGTTTTTCCAAGAGCTTGATTTTCTTCAGGCCTGGGAATAAAGAAATACATGAGGCATAGGTCCTTGCCCTCACCTAACACACACACACACACACACACACACACACACACACACACAATTTCACTGCAGCGTAGTGTTCTATTTTTAATTTTTATTTTAAAGATAAAAGAATGAAAACATATTAACAGATACACAGACATTTATAAAGTAGCACAAAAACAGTGCAAGCAATACAGAATTTCAGACAAGGTGACAGGAAATTAACAATGGTGGTTGTATTACATATTGATATCTCAGGGGGTTTTTTGTTTTTTGTTTGTCTTTTTGAGACAGTGTCTCGCTGTGCAGTTCAGGCCAGCTGTGAGCTCACTTTGTAGCCCAGGCTGGTCTCGAACTCGAAACAATCCTCCTGCCTCAGCCTCCCGAGTGCTGGGATTACAGGCGTGTGCCACCACACCCAGCCTCATATTGATATCTTCAAATTGGTTACTCAGGGGCTGGGGATTTAGCTCAGTGGCACAGCGCCTGCCTGGCAAGTGCCAGGTCGTGAGTTCGATTCTCAGTACCGGAAGAAAAACCAAAAAAAAAAAAAAAAACCAAATTGGTTACTCAGATAAACAAATATAGGCATGTAAGACTGATCAAACAAACATTAACTATTCCTTTCAATAACGTAATAGAAATCAGTAATACAACTATCTTAGCTATCCTGTGTATACATACATTTTTTTTCCCTTTCTTTTTTTTTCTCTTTTCCCTCATCGCAGTTGTTCTTTACTTTTGAGCAGTTTCTTCCCCTTCACAATATCTCTTGTACCTTTTAGACTTTATTCACTCTTTCAGGTTCTTACACTAGGGAGACAATACAGTATTTACACATGCAGGTCTGATTTATTTCACTTATAAGTATGATCTCTAGTTGTGAACTTTTACCTATAAAAGCCCAGAGTTTATCTTTCTTTATAGCTGAGTAATATTCCATTATATAAAAATACCACCACCTTTTTATCCATTCCTCAGTTGATGGGCATTTGGGTTGCTTCCACAATTTAGCTATTACAAATTGTGGGGTTTTTAAATTTAATTTAACTTTTTTATTTTAAAGATAAAAACAAAAACATTAACAGACACACGAACATTTACAAATGCAGCGTAGTGTTCTAATAGGGCTTTGGGTAAAGCACTTTGGGGACAGAAGAGTTGGAGAGACTCATTGGCTAGGGAGTAGAGAAGGGGGTGTCTCAGGAAAGCATCTAAAGAGTTGGCACTGGAGCTAGGACCTGTAGGATGGGTAGAAGTTTGCTGAACAGATAAAAAGGCAAAGGGAATTCCTGCCTAAGAAAACAGCATGAACAAAGACAAGAGACATATAGGTGCAAAGGATGTCTGGAGAATGGCCAAGAATAGCTCAGTGTCATGGCCACAGAATACTAGGAACACTATAGTGATGGGGCTTACATCAGGGCCACATTGAAAGGAATTAATGATAATCAGAAGAGCTTAAATCCTTCCCTACAGACAACAGGGAACTTATAGTAGAAAGATCTGTGGAAAGAGAGGATGCCTGGTTTCTGGTTTCAGTTCTGCCTGTCCTGAGCTGTGAGATGCTAAACATGTGATTTCCTCAACCCGAGGGTTGCACTGACAGTGTGATCCCTAGCATCCCTTCCAGCTCTGATTCCATTCCAGGCTCCTCCCAATTTGGTATTAAAGTTCACTGGGTCAGCCCCTCCACACACTGCACTGCTCTCTAGGCCATGATAGTGACAAGACTCCTCGGGGAACACTGGCAACATACCTCCCAGTTGTGTTTAGATCCCCTATCAATTTTATATGACTTTTTCTATCTGCCTTTTTTAAAATACCTTTTTATTTTATAAAAAAAGGAACAAAATTTCATAACAGTAAGAGACTAACAATAGTTAATACACTATATCATTATATCATTATCTTCAAAGTAGTTACTCAGTACAAGACATAGATAAAAACAATTCTTTTTTAAAGAAACAGATTAATAGCACAAAACTTTCTTTTCAATAAACTAAGAGAAACTAGTAGTGTAAATGAGACAAATTAGCACATGTGTTAAAATATTTTTGCAACAATGGAGTGGGTAATTTAGAGAATTATTTGAACTTCTCCCTCTACGTGCCTTTCTCTACCTCAACCTGGGCCCTTAAGATACTCATTCAGAAAGAGTAGCTTAAAAAGCAATAGAAAGCTAAAAGAATCAGTGGTGGAATTTCACTCTTCTGCAGAGAAACCTGAAAGATAATCTTACCAAGATACTCAGTTCATCTTTTAGATCATAGCTTTATGCCCCAGCTCCCCGGTTAGAAGCTGGGGAAGTTCAAGTCAAGTACATTTAGTGAGAACCTATTAATGTGAGGGAAATAGCAGAAACAGTGTATGGGGAAGAGAGTAAACCTGAAGGTCAAGAATAGGTCTGGAGTGCAGGAGCTACAGAAAATGGGATAGAGGGAGGCTAACTCTCTTCCAAAACTTACCAGCTTCCCTGACTGGATTCTCAACTAAGATTGGCAAGAATGTATACTGCAGGAAAGGGCAATTAAAATGAAGCCAGAGAAGATGCCCCATGGCTTGAGGGCGTTGTCTTTAGTGTGATGTACAGCTCAGATGCAAGGCAACACTGCCTTTGGTAGTGGAAAGAGCACTAAACAGCGTCCTTGAAGACCTGGGTTCTCATCCAACCTCTGCCACTTACTGGCTATGTTGTTTTGCACATCACTCTCCCCAACTACAGAATGGAGGTGTGGGCCTAGAATCCAGATTGTAAATAATTTTTAAAGTCCCTTGCTCAGTAACTCTTTACCTTCCTTCTGAACTGGTCTATCTCCTGTTTTAAGTCAAGGCCTCTCCAGGGCAGGAGCTCTGTTCCCACTGTTCAAGGAGACTGATAATCAGTGACTCAAGGACCTCCATAAAGAAGCAAAATGGTAGCACACACCTGTAATCTCAGCTACTTGGGAGGCTGAGGTAGGAGGACTGCAAATTCAAGGCCAGTCTGAGCAACTTAACGGATGGGGATATAGCTCAGTGATAGAACACTTGTCTAGCATGTTAGAGGCCTTGGGCTCAATCCCCAGTACTGACAACAACAGAGCAAATTGCCCAACATTGATGACTGCCCATTTGGGACCCAGAGGCAAGTCATAGAGAACCAACTTGACTCTTCAGCTCTTTACCTCTGCTGACCAAACCAGGATGCCCTTGTACCCAGGCCCATATCCTTATCCAAGCCCAGCACCTGAGGATGTGTATAGCCTCTTTGCTCCTCCCTTCAGAACCACAGACTTCTGGTCTAACCCTCCTTGGCAGGAGGGCCTGATGAGGAAAGCTTTTGTTAATTTTTACTTCCTTTAGTGTCCCCTACCTCCACTTTCCACAGTTTGTCTCTTCCCCAGACTAGATCACCCTGGCAGGTGACCTGCCAAGAGAAAAAGGAATAAATTAATTTGGCTTTCAGTTTACCTAGGCTAGAATATTAGGTATAAGTCAGTCCCAGGGCTCAGGAATACCTAAACAGTGAGAAAAACATCTGCAGTCATCTCAGGATTTGAGGAGCTCTAGAAAGCTGTCAGAGTACCTCTCCTATCAGCCTATCCAATCTCCCAAGATCTTAGCATGGTTTTAGGATTGGTATTGTCATGGATGTTAGAGCTGACCAGGGCCCCTTTATTTCACAGAAGCTCAGGCCTAGGAAAGGGAAGTCACATGCCCAAAGTGACACAAGTCAGAGCTGAATCAAGGCAGCTTCCTGGGTTTCTATTACCTTTATTGTAAAATGAGGGCACTTAAGCAAGGTGGACTCTGAGGCCGTTCTAGCCTCTGCTCTGTAAAAATAAAACATCTACCATCATCTGTGATATATCTAGCACCACACACTGCACCATACTCCTTTATTTTTTCTTTCTTTCTTTCTTTCTTTCTTTCTTTCTTTCTTTCTTGCTTTCTTGCTTTCTTGCTTTCTTGCTTTCTTGCTTTCTTTCTTGCTTTCTTTTTGTATTTTTGAGACAGGGTCTTGCTATGCAGTTCAGGATGGCCTTGAGCTTACTTTGCAGCCCAGGCTGGTCTCAAATTCACAATGATCCTCCTACCTCAGCCTCCTGAGTGCTGGGATTACAGGCGTGCGCCACCATGCCCGGCTCCTTTAATTTTCACAACGAACTGTGCTACAGTGTTAATAGTGTTAATTCTGTACTATGTTTATATGTGTCTGTCCCAACAGATTTGACTGGGATTCCAAAAGATTTCCATTAAGGCACCAGTATCTTTGAAAAAAGGAAAGTGTTAGGCAGCACCATTAGCTTTCCTCAGGCAGGAGTTCATTGTTAAACTAAGATTTTGCATGAAGTCACCCAGTTGAGACATTGTAACCCCGGAGTTGGGAGACGGTGATCAGATGCCCCTTGGCCACTGCATGGTTCCTGTAACTCTAACCCCATGCTAGCCTGACCCAGCTGTTGCAGCAAGGCAAGGGGAAGTAGGAGGGGTCAGAGCCCACAGCAAGAGAATTGCACAACCCTCAGGAACTGCCCTTAGGCCGTCCACCTTGGTTTTGAAGTTTGTTCAGTATGTCTATTTCCTTCCTTTTCTACTTTCTCCCCATTTTCCAACTGTGGGCTTTTGCAGCAACTGAGTCAATCCTGAGACCCCAGGTGTATTCAAAGACACCCTGAAGAGGCAGGGTGACTAAAGAGTCTTGGGGTGTCCACAAGGAGATTCCCAAAGCTGTCTCATTGCTGTGGAATTTCCCTGTTTGGTGAGTTTTCCACATTGAGGTTGCCTCCCTTTACCCTGCCCCACAAGAACCCATTTCCAAGTACACCTCATGACAGTGACTACACCAGGAAGGAGTCCATTAAATAAAAACAAAAGAAACTATAGTATATGTATTTGCATCACAAAATTTAAATAAATTAATTCTCTTCAGCATAATAAAAAAGTATGTTTACAGCAAGCCTTGAGGAAAGCAGGGAAGGGATGGTAATCTTTTTGTTTGTTTTAATTGTAGTAAAAAAATTTTAAAATTTGCCATCTTAGCCACTTAAGTGCAGAGCTCAGTAGTGTTAACTATTTTCACATTGTGTGCTACAGCTCTCTAGCACTTTTCCACTTTGCAAAACTGAAATTCTATATCCATTCTGCAACAACTCCTGATAATGATCTTTTTTGATAGAGAAGAAAACTGAAGCCCAAACAGGGAAAGTAACAGGGAAATTAGGCTCCTACCTATCTATCACCTACCTATAAACATGTCTGAGGCCCCTTCTTCCGCCTCATATTAGCTATCTCTCCCCCAAACATCTCTCACATTTCATGCCTCTCTATTCTTCCAGCCATCCCTTGCCAGCAGAATTTCCCCAAGGAGTTATGAATACCTAAAGTGTTTGGGACCTAGCATATTTAAGAGGTCAAATGAGCCAGCCTCTGGTTCTAGATAGATGAAAGCTAAGCCACCATCTAAATGATGTCTGTGGAGTATAAAAAAACCAACCATGATGAAAGGGAGGGGCTTTTTGTTTTATTTCTTTTTCTTTCTTCCTTTTTTTGTTTTGTTTTTTATTTTTTGGTGGTGCTAGTGTGAGTGAACTGAGGGCCTCTCACATGCTAGGCAAGGGCTCTACCAACGAGTTACATCCCCAGCCCTGAAGGGAAGTTCTGAAAATGTCTTGTAATGGTGCCACACAGTCCATTTAGATTGGGATGGAGGCAGAAGGAGCTCTAAACTTGGCTTCAGAGAGTAAGACTTTATATTGGCTGTACTTCCAACATTCTCTGTGATCATAGACAAGCTACTTATTCGTTGTGGGCCTCAATTTCTCCGTGCATAAAACAGAATGTGTTAGATTAATCCCTAAGACCTTTTTTTGCCTAAAGTTCAGTGACTAACAGAAGCTAAAGAAAGGAGAGTTAATATGAGTTACAAAGGTCAGGGAAAACTTTATTTATTCCATACTTACTTATTTTTGCAGTACTGGAGATTGAACCCAGGGCCTTCTCACTGAGCTACAGTTTCAGTCCTTTATTTTTTTACTTTGAGACAATGTCTCACTAGGTCACTAAATTTCCCAGGCTGGGCTTGAACTTGTGATTCTCCTGCCTCAGTGTCCCAAGTGCTGATATTACAGGCATGAGAACTTATGGGGAGCTGTCACCAGTGCTTATATGTAGCAGTGAGTAAAACAGACGTAGTCTTTGCTTTCACTGAGGTCGAGGTCTACTGTAGAAAACAGACATATAAGTAGTAACAATAAATCTGTGATGTTGAGATTCTAGCTGGGGTCTGCCCAGTGGGGAGGTCATTCAGGCTCCAGGTAACAGAATTCATCTCCTCCCTCTTTCCTCTTGACAGCAGAGAATCCTGCAGTTCTTCTCTCGCCTTGATTTCTGTTGCTATGGAGACTACCAACAGGACTGAGACCTGGTATGAGAGCCTGCATGCTGTGCTAAAGGCTCTAAATGCCACACTTCACAACAACTTGCTCTGCCGGCCAGGACCACAGCTAGGGCCAGGGCCAGACAACCAGACTGAGGAGCGGCGGGCCAGCCTCCCTGGCCGTGATGACAACTCCTACATGTATATTCTCTTTGTCATGTTCCTGTTTGCTGTCACCGTGGGCAGCCTCATCCTGGGATACACTCGCTCCCGAAAAGTGGACAAGCGTAGTGACCCTTATCATGTGTATATCAAGAACCGTGTGTCTATGATCTGATGCAAGGTGGTCAGGGATGGTAGAAGGTCAAGACATTTGAAGATTGTCAGCTGGGGCTTCCAGAACTCTGCTATGGATCACGTCAGACCTCAGGTTCTCTAGAATCAACAAGAAACAGTGCTAAGGAAGGTCATCATTTGTGTCGGGGAGGAGGCACTGGCAGACCTGGACCTTGTGGATAAGGCTTTTTACAGGCAAACACAAACTTTATAAACTGTGAGAGCCCATGAACAAACATACAGAAGTATGAAAAGATAATGACTAATGACTGGTCTAGTGTCTATGGTACTGGTAGTTGGGAGTTGAAGCAAGAGGAAGTAGTAGCAGAGGGAAATAAAACAGGAAGATGCTCTGGGGACACTTTTTTTTTAACTTCAGCAATCATGAGATTATCCTGTATCACAGATAGGAAATCTGAATAATGTTATTTATTTATATTAATTCACATTTTATATTTTAAGAACTTATTTCACAATTGTGATTTTTTAGCTTCCCTGCAAAGAAAGTAGGGCAAGTGCCATGGGGACCCTTTGGGCCAGGTTGGTGCCATGATTGGAACTCAAGAGCTCTGGTCTCCTTGCCTTAAGCTTTTCAGAACTCAGTTCCACATGGGTATGAATCCAGACCTGAAGCCTACACAATTCTACGGATTTTTTTAAAGAAAAAAACTCATGATTATCTTGCTTTTTCAAATATTACAAAAATGTATCACCATTTAAAATGTGGCTAGGGCCCTTCCTAGGAGCTTAAGGAACCCAATCAATGCAGGGCCCTGAATGTTAGGTCTTATTAACTCCATGGCCGATGTATCTGTTGAGCCATGTCACGGTGCCCTTCCCAGCCGCATGTGCAGTCATGAGGTTTTCCCTACTTCCAAAGCAGCTTTTTCTACTTTGACTGAATTCTGTGAGAAGTTGAAATCTGCTTTGAGAAGATGATTATCATATGTAGTTAATTTTCACATTAAAAGGTGCAGACTGTGACAGGCAAGGTACGTGGTTCAGTAGGAGAAGCAGCCCTGACTCTGGTACTAATGTGGTGCCTAACCTCAGGCAGGACACTTCTCTCTGGTCCTTTTTCTTATTTACACAATGAAATAGTCAGACTTGAAAGTCTTTGAGGGAGTCTTCTACCAGTTCTGATATTCATATACATTAGTTGGAACCATATAAAATCACTTTGTTTGTAGGTCAAAGATAACAGAATAGTTTCACATGGTTCAACCTAGTTCATCAAATGTGGGAATGAATTCTTTACAAATCATTTCTCAAAATCCCAGACTGGAATCACCCACTGTTTTGTTTGTCTGATTTCATTTTAAGAGATCTCTATGCTGTCCCCAGCAAGCCCCATTGTAACATACATATTTGTATATAGCAAAACTCTGAAAATATTTTTATAGCAGTTATCTCTGTGGAACAGGGTTATGTGTGACTTTTCCCTTTCTACTTTATATGTGTGTGTAACATTTGACTTACCTGACTGTAAGTATTTGACTTGTATAATGGGGTGAAGCTACTTCCATTCTGAAAAAAAATAAAGATAAACATCGCTGTGTTTCTGGAGTAGAGGCTCACAGAACACATTCTCCCCTTGACTGGCAGTTATGTGGAGTCCTGGAAAATCTGTGCCTAGCCCCATGTGTGCTCCCTCTTTTTGAGGGAGAAAGTGGAGAGCTCCTTAAAGAGATCTGAAATATTGGTAAGACAACAGATTTTGGGTTTTGGTTTTGTAAGACAGGGTCTTGCTGTGTAGTTCTGGCTGGCCTTGAACACACAGTGTAGCCCAGGCTGGCCTCGAACTCATGGTTATTCTCCTGTTTCAGCTTCCTGAGTGCTGGGATTACAGGTATGCACCACCAAGCCCAGCATGAGACAAGAGATTTTGAAGCTTATAGCTCAGAGGGCTGTGGAGACTACCCAGCCCAAAATCCCAAATAAAATTTTAAATGCAATCACGTGTAAAAATGAATGGTCAGGTGATGAATATTGTAAGGATTTTGAGAAATGAGTATATCTCATTACTTGGAGTTTGACTAAATAAAATGTTAGGATCTTAAGGAGATATATGTAAACATTCTAATATGCTATGACCTAGGTAGTCCCCTCTGCCCTCGAGATCCGGGTCCTCCGGTTGTCTGGGAGCTTCTTCCCGCTTACACAGTCTGTCAGATTTTTGTCTGTACAGCTTCTGCCCTCTGCTGGCCACATCCAAGCATATCACCTTAGGCCCCAAGGTAAATTTCAACAATCATTCATTCAGCTAGAATGAATTTATTGAGTGCACTCTATATGCCAAGCATTCACTTAGACATACTCGGAATATATACATAAACAAAATAAAAGAAGAATTCCTTGCCCTAATACTTAAGAGCATTTGCTATATGTCTAAGCACAGGTCTAAACATTTTACATTTTTATTATCTCATTTAGTTTAAAAAAACCCTCATAATGACCCTCTGTAGCAAGTATTTCTTACAATCACTTCAAAAGGGCCCAGTTGTTTTTTACCTAGTTGCAGGTATATTTGACCTGAAGTCCACTGCTTTTTTTCCCCTCTTTTAAAAAGTGTTATAATTTTTAGAGTTTTAAAGGTCATTTATTACACATATACATTAACTATATATATTATATATTTTATATGTGACCCAGGACAATTCCTCTTTACTAAAAAAACTAAGGGAGAAAATTGGTATGCCGCAGGTTGGATATGCCTGATGGTGCCTTCAGAACTCACCTTCAACCCAGGTTAGGTCCTGTGGCACGCACAGCCCAGAATGTGAATCTGAAAGTCCCTAGAAATGAATGAGAAAATGATTTGGGAAAATGAGGAAGATTATTGACACCAGTAGCCTGATGTTGGGTTCCCTAGAAACAGAATCTGAGATAGGCATTTATCGATGAGCATTTTGCAGGAAAACACCTGCAAAGAAGAGTAAATTAGACGGGGAAAGGAAAAGAGCCAGACTGTGTCTCAGGTCATGTCTAGCCTTGGTTTAATCCACATGGAGCTGTTAAATATGGCTGGGACATAAACCACACGGAAAAATGTGTACGTTCTTGAGGCAAGGAAACTTTTATATCCCCAAATCAGTCCGTCATTGTTTGAGCCACCCTGCCAGGTCAGGGAACTAGAGGAGGGCTTCGAGGAGGTTGCCATCAGCTGAGGGTAATTCTGGGGAGAAGGGTGGCAGCAATGAGTTATTGCAAGATAGCACAGTAAAAGCAAACTAAGCAAGGAAGACCTTTTGGTTGGTTGGAGATTAGTCCTACCCTCATCCCTGGGAAAGGTTCTGAAGCTCAGTATCTCTCTCTCTCTCTCTCTCTCTCTCTCTCTCTCTCTCTTTTTCCCTAGACCTTCACACACTGAGCTACATCCTCAGCCCCTTTAAATTTTTTTTAGATATGTTCTTGCTAAGATGCTAAATTGCCCAGGCTGGACTTGAATTTGTAATCCTCCTGCCTCAGCCTCCCAGAGGGCTGGGATTACAGACATGTACCATCATGCCTTGCTCTAAAGCTCAATTTTTCTTTTCTTTTTTTTTTTTTTTTCTTTTTGAGGCAGGGTCTCATTATGCAGTTCAGGATGGATCTGAATTCACTATGTAGCCCAGGCTAGCCTCGAATTTCCAGCTATCCCCCTGCCTCAGCCTCCTGAGTGCTGGGATTACAGGCATTCACCACCATGCCCAGCTTCTAACGCTCAATTTTCAACACAGAGTTGGGACCACCTTTTGTAGCTGTCCTTTTTCTACCTGATGTGGGGGTAATTAAGAACGGCACACCAAATACAAAAACAAGATAAGTACCAGAAACATGATGGACAGATACTAATATGATGGCCAAGAAGAAGTATTCACAGATGTGTCTTAGAGGAAGTGGGATTTGAGGTAGGATATGAATAATTGTAAGATTTGGTTAGAAAGTCTAAGATAAAATGGCCCAAAGCCAGTGTTCAAATTAGGTAGATGGCTCTGCTCTACTTGATTATTCAAGGACTTGGGCAATGACTGCCATCTTAGCGCATATTGCCCACAGTCTCCTTGGTTAAAGCATTTCTATTTAGTAAGAAAAAACAAAGAACAGAAAGTCCAGTGCCAGAGATTTACTCTTAAACAAGAATGGCAAAAGCTATATACATCTATTCTCAGATCTATAGATGAAGGCTTAGGCCACAACCAGCTGCAAGGGGAGCTGGAAAATGAGTTCCCCAGCTGGATAGTCATCCAAATGTCCATTACTATGGAAAAAAGAGAGTAGATTCTAGTGGGCAGATTAAAGTTTAAGAGGCTTTCACCCTGCCATCTTCTTTCCTACCAGAACTATCAAGATCAAAGCATTTAGAGCCCTGCCAATAAGGGAGAAGTGTTGCTACCCTGATTTGATTGTATTTTCAGGGGAGCTAGTGTGGGAGCTTTGTAGGTATAAATAACTAAGCCTGTCTTGGCAATGTGACTTGCTTTTTTTTTTCTTTCTTTCTTTCCTGGCACCACTGAGTCTGGTCTCTTCTCAGTGAAATGGCAATATTAAAATACTGGTTTAAACATAGGAGAAATAGACAAAGCAAGGCCTTCAGCCAAACTTTTATAGGAAGAATCCTGTTTCAAGTGCCACCAAGAAACCAAGAATGTGATCTGCCTGGATGAAATCAGATACCGCATCTCTGGCAGTGGTTAAACTGTGGCAGCAAATAAGCTCTTGGAAGTAAGGGAGTCAGGAAAAAGTGAACAGGAACGAGAAAAGGAAGGAAAACTAATATGTGATGAACGGCTACATGGCTTACCTTGCACTGTCCTGAGTCACAAGGCAGTGTCTCACCAAAGTCACACCCCTCCTGAGGCTTCCCAACCAAAGATAGACTGATGCAGGGATACAAATGCCTGACCCCATCACCTCAGTTTGGGACAACTCTGAGTGGCCATCTCAGCTCCAGAACTGCCCATAGGGTCAGCTGAGGCTTCAGATACAACCACATTATCTGGTGGCTTCTTCCTCTTGCCACTTCTGTGCCTTCATTTCCTTACTCATATCTTTCAAGGCGCTCTCCCAAACAGCCTTCTGCCAACAACTTTCTCATCTGTCGGTTTCTAAGGGAATCAATCTTTCCATCAAAAACCATGCCCTAACACTGAGCCTGTTCCAAAGTTGTACTGTATCAGTAATAACAAAAGAATAGGATGATAGAATATAGATGAAGACAGATGGTGGTTCTAGAAAACCCAAAAGAAAAGAAAGTGATAGAGACTTGGGGGTGTAGAAAACAGCCAGTTATAATCATTGACTAAGGAGAGCTAAGCCACTAGAGGGCCCAGCACTACAGCTCTACAACTCTGCTACTACATCAGCACATAGAATTTTGCTCTTTACCTGGCAGACACCCAGCACAATGATTTACACTAGGGAAAAAGTTGTTGGTTCATTATCTCCTTGTCTTTTACACCAGTGTCCTAGCTTGTTCCGATGCCCTATCACTGTGCCTTCTGTGCCATTACATATACTAAGCTTATGCCCACAAATCAAGCCTCCCAAAGTCTTTTTTTCCCACCCAGTGCTCTCATTGCTCCCAAGGGGTTCTAAAGCTATGAAATGTGGAATTGCAAATATGTGACTGTGACAAATCTCACCTAGTAGTGGAGAGAGACAGCGATATAATCAGCTGAATTCTACCACCACCACCCCCCATTTGCAGGGAGGATCAGACATACAGGCTTAGATGTGAAATACAGTGGCCAACGGAGAAAGAGGTCACATGAGCCTTCATAAAAGGGAAAGTTTGAGAATATTGTATAATTGAATAAAATAATTTAATTTTCTGTTGTGGACTTAGTAAAAAGACTTAAAGGAAATATGCCTCTATCCCCTATTTGGAAGGACATTTGGTCCCCTGGGAATTGGGAGACGCCTTTCCTGGGGGTAGGGGTTTCTTGGAAGTTCCTAACATGGAACTTTCTAAAGGGACAGAATTAGATTGTCTGGGAAATGGAAAGCTCTAAGGATTAAAAGGAGTTGAGTTCTATAAAACTGGGAGGATGGAAGGGTAGCAGGACTTGTGCTTGGCCTAAGTACTCAGCCACCCCCACATCTCTGACAGTGATGACTACAAGGATACTTGGAGAATGTATATCAAGCCAAGTTCTTGGTAGCTAGGTTTACAATGGAATGAACAGATGCATGCCTTGAGTAACTGGGCCAGAAACCTCTGCCTGGTGCACACCTGCCTGGACAATGAGCGTCTTCACAATATAATTATAATGGAAGGATGACAAGTCCCCAGGTCATCAGACTGGGTAACCCCTGGGGTTTTGTTGTTTTTTGTTTGTTTGTGGGGTTTTTTTTTTTTTGCATCTTCAAAAAAAGCTCTGAAACTGGATATCCTACCAACCTGGAGATGGAGGTGAAGCTAAATTTAATCTGATTTGATTTAAAAAAATAAAAATTTAATTTGAGACCGGATGTAGTGGTGCACACCTATAATCCCAGCACTTGGGAGGCTGAAGCAGAAGGATTGCTGTGAGTTTGAGGCCAGCCTGGGCTACAAAGTGAGTTCAAGGCCAGCCTGAACTGCA